TGATCACCCTGTTCGTGGAGAGAGAGGATAAAACCATCTGTTGGAATTAGGTATATATATGTTACTTGTTATTTCAAAGGTAGAGTCCATTTCATTATACATTTGTAGATAAACCTGTATTTTCACCTGTGGTTTCATGTACACATGATCACCAGGAGTGATTTATTATACCTGTTAAAAAATGTAAATTTCAAAAATTTCAAAGACAGTAAAGCATCCACCTTAGCATCACGTTATCAGGTGAATAATAACCAATGTTAGCATAAAAGCCTGGCATGTATATATATATCCTTTTAAGCAGATGTTGCCCTTGTACATATGCATGCATACAAATTCACAATAAAAGACAAACAGTCAAATCATAATTCATTTTTATGACAAACTAAATCAATATTTAATTGCCAAAATCTTCGCCTAAACTACATGCACATGAAAGGCATGACACAAACATCAACATTTTAACCGAAAACCTACATTTTTACCATTGTTACAGAGAATTTGTTAACACTCGCTCCGCTCGGCCATCATGAAATATAAATACTCTATGTTATAAAATATAACCTGGAATAATACCGCAAACTCAGAAAACTATTCTATGCCTTATTCGATCTGTTTGACAATGGAAATAATGTCCGATAAATTCTAGCTTTCTACGCTTGACAGTGCTTGAACAAGTTTGGTATTACATCTTCAGAAAAAAGAATTCGCCTCGCTCTGCTCGGCAGGGAAATTATAATTGTCACAATCTCAGAAATAAGGAAGTTCTATATATTGTTTGGTGCCAGAAAGTAGTATACATGTATCCTCGGGTTACCGGTTTCCGCGCACTTTAGAAGCATCCGCGAGTTCGTACTCATATCGGCAGAAAACTGTTGAAATTACGGAAGACTGTCATAAACATGTATACAATCTACTGAAGGAAACAAAAAACTAGCAACATAAAACTGTATTTTAAAAAAATCAGAACAAACAATTTTTAACAAATTTCTCCCGTCGGAAATAGCAGGGATGTGTAATCCACTACAAATGTTTCCGCGTGTCTATTTTGATTTAGTGTTCAAAGAAAGATAACTCGAATACACTAAAAAGAAATTCTCTACAGTGACCTGCAAGTTTGATCGTCAAATTAATTATCAAAGAACATTTTTTTAAATTTCACATTTTTAATTGATTTTTCAAGATGTCAAATTGAACGAATTCATGTAATTTTATAAATTTATTTATTATATTTAATTTAGTTATAATGTAGAATCTGTTATTAATTTTTTTCTGCAGTCTTATAACGGTTTTGGTTGATGGCAAGTTATTTCTCATTTTGTTCTGTTTAAAATTGGTGAAAATTGGAAGTTGATTGCATTACAGGGTTTACGTTTCATTGAAAACAGTGTTTATCGATATAAGAATGTCTCCTTGGTTCTTCAGAAGTGGAAAAAAACCGGCGAGGAGATGTGGCCTCATTTGCATACAACATTTTCGTACGTTTGTCAGACTACAAAAAAGACTGGTTCATGAATGAAATATATCACCGTTTTTTCAGGTATGGGTTCATTTTGAGCAAGATAAAAAAAGTGCATTAAGCAAAACTGCATATTTATGCGTGTTTTTTAATCCGTGATGAATTCTTATGTTTTCCGGACGAACTTCCGGTAATTTTTGTGTCAGTTTACAGACGATGGCCAAACGTCTAAAATGTCCTTGTGTTGTGTCCAGCAGGTCACGTAGTTACGAGATATAGCTTAATAAAATGTCTGCGCGGAAATACATAATGCGCGGAAACAGGTGACTAGACGATACAACCGACATGACAATTATAATTTATTAGTTTTTTTGAGTCTTCTGAGTTTATAATTTTGGGCAACACCCAATATTAATCCCCCCCCCCCCCCCCCCCCCCCCCCCTCCCGAGTCTGACTGTTGTTATCCGTGATATCGGGAATACAAGCGAGGCCGACATTCGGCTTACTAAAGTGAAGGTGGATATCGATATCCTGTCAAAAAGATGGGAAAAAGCTCACGTGTTCAAGTTCCATACACGTCAACATTTTAACAAGCGATTGTAATGAAATACAACTAAGTCAACGGAGGCTAGTTGTTTTTCCGGAATGGATGTATTTTTGTGTATTTTTTTTCACCAATTAAAGGTCTTCCGAATAACAATTGTAGATTGATTTGTTACTAGCATTATTGTTATAGGTTTTAGGGCGGATATATGCGCGTATAGGACCCATCTGAGTTTTACATTCACTTCGCCTGCAAATGAAATATGAAAAAGGCAAAGCCTCAAAAGTCAGAAAAAGCCACGTACATGTAGCTTTTGCTAATCTGTGACATTATATAGGCCTTCATTTGTCCCTGTCATGAACTGATAAAGTATGTTTTTCAGAGTAGTCCTAGGCCTATCTTCAGTAGAGCTACTGGATATATATGTATATATCTAAACATCGATATAGGAGCCTCGTCATCTTATGTTCTGAGAAATGTTGAAATAAAAAGGGTTTGGGGGACACAAGGGCAAAAAATCTGAAACTAATTTGTTTATATTGCCTCCGACATTTTAAATATCTAGTTAATTTAGATTCATCAGGAAAGAGATATGACGCAACGGATATTTTCGGGTAATTCCAACAATCCACACATTTTTGTCGGGCATGCCCCCGTTCCCCTCTAGAATGGCTTCGCGCCTTTGGTGCGACTTTCTGCATGCACATCCAAAAGAGCCCAGCTACGCGCCTGGTAACTAATCGTATCTCTGTTGCTGGGATCCACTTCATCAACAGCAAATCAACTGTCTGGGGGAAAAGGAAAAACAGCAGTCGGTAAGGTTTGCCAAGAATGACTACCGATCCAGACATCTGGAAACTAATCACGAAGCTGGAAAATCACGGAATATGTGAAAACATTTATGACGAAATTGCAAAGGAGATGAAAATGCAGAATTCGTCAGTAGCACGGAATCAAATTTACAAAATCCTTCGAAAAAAGAAGCATAATATATAACTTAAGCTGGAGATAATCAACATTTACAGACAACATTCTTACAAAAGTATTAAGGAAGCAACCAAGAAAATAGAAAACCGCTCGTCACTAGATAGAAACGAAATACAATACACACGAAAGGGGAGTTAATTTTAAACAACAGTTGTAATATCCTACATTATAAATTAGTAACGTTATGATTCCGGAAATTATGTCTGTCTTTCTGCTTCAGAAGATGCTCGCTTTGTAAACATATTAAGATCAATGTAAAACCATTCAGGAAATATATAGTTCGGATCCAAAACAAAGTCCATAACTTCAGCCATCATAAGTGTAAGGCCAAATGATCAGTTAAAACTACTTCAGATGGGAGACTGCTAACGTGTCTCCTAAATTTGTGCAGTTCAGGCCCTCTAAAATCATTGAGATTGATTTATCACCTTGATCTCTTCCCAATGCTTAATACTAGAGCCTTATCAGAAATAACAGTCTTCAATCCTCGAGCAACAACAACATGTTTGCACGGAGTCAACACTAGGACAACATTTAGACTTGAACCGTTTTGGAAGACTGGTAGAGAAGCGGCCATAGATGATTGTATAAAACACAGACCTCTCTTAGGTCTTAGAGTCTCACATGAGTTAGGTCTATACAAAGTAAAAACATGACATATGGCAGAGAAAGTGAACGAACATAAAGAAACAAAGAGTTTCATCATGCGTCAGAACAGAGTCGTCATCTGCAGTGTTACTAATATAAGGTCCCATGGGCAGCCAAGTGTAACTGGGCCGATTTTGTTCCTTCTTCAAGCAAATAATATGCCAGAAGTCTTGACTTCATAATGTAACTTTTTGAGAGTGATATTCAAATATATTGCATCGACACCTGATGGCTGCGGTAAGAGCTCCCACTAGTCGGTTGGAAGGTGGTTTATGTTACTTAATAAACGTTATTGCAAGCACATGTAAATTCGGGAATGTACCCAGCAATAGCCAGCATATAATATCACAATGAAGGTGTCAGAACAACGATAGGCGAAAACAGATTAACAAACAACTAAAATTCAGTGAACACATACACATGCACATACAAGGCACTGAATGGCACAGCTCCTCAGTACCTACAGGAGCTTGTTACCCTGTATCAGCCGTCAAGATCACTGCGGTCGGAGTCAGAATCTTTGTTGTGTGTCCCAAAATCTCGTACTGTGACCTACGGAAACAGATGCTTTGGGAGGGTTTCGGATACGTTGTGGAATAGCTTACCATCTGCTATTAGGAAGTCAAAAACCCTGGCCAAGTTCAAGAGGGACATAAAAACTCACCTCTTCACGTCTGCATTTTAGAATCTTTGCAAAGACGTCATGTAAACACCACCCTTTTATTTGTTCAATTATGTGCATATTGCTTTTTAAATTATGAAATTGATTGCAAGCCTTTGTTGTTTGTTTTTACAATTATAATAATAACTATTATCCATATGTTGTAAAGCGCCTTAGAGTAATTTTACAAATTATATATAGGGCGCTATATAAATGTTGTATATTATTATATTATTATTATTAATGATGAAAATAATTGTCCGTTACTGAATATAACATTTGCAAATGAACCCAATAGTTTAAATATATATAAAAAATGTCGTTTATTATAAGTATTTGAAAGAGAAAAATATATTCATATATAAAAAATGGTAAAAAAAGTCACCTGTAACCTCTCGGACAATATATAACGTGCGAGCTTCCTTAAAATATTAATAGGGGAGACAATAGCTGTCCTGAATTGTGATTGGCTGGGATGCATTCGATTACGTCTTGATTGAAACTTCCAAATGAACTTTTAAATTCGGGAATTATTGAAACTCCCTTGCTCCGAAATATCAGTGTACAATAAAACGATTGGAGATAAAAGACAATCGCTATAAGAAATACTTATGTCATAATTCTGAAATTACTTGATAATATATCGATTATATTATAAAAGTTGTCTCCCTTCCTTCAAGGTATAAAAAGAAAACGTAACATCAAGTCGGTCATTTGCTCCGCAACCTAACACGTGTGAGCGTGGAGAGGGAGACGTAATGAGCTAGGCATAATTATGTTGACATTTGAGCTTTGAAAAATGAACAACATGGTGCGATCTTTCCCAAAACTTGCTGCAAATGTCTCCTCTGACATCAGCAAGAAATACGAGGTGAGAACAACATAAGTTTAATTTAATCGAAGAGATTTTGTCGTGCCGTGTTACCGATATGAATATGTAAACATTGCTGTATTTGTGTAGGTGTACCTACTGCATTACTCTTTGGGTTTTGTTTGAGGTTCCAATGGTTTTATTGACAGTTACGCACAGTGCCATCCCCTTACGGGAATGCATACAACAGGCCGAGATCAACATTCTATTTACCTACATGAAGACACACAGTGTCTATAACTTTATTAGTATTAAGTTGAATACTTTGTAAAGTTCAAACGACTGGGTTCTTACCATCATGGTCGTCATGTTGGAGGTTATATAAACAAAGTTGACAATAGTCGTCCTTGTCTTATTTCCTTGCTTGGTAGATACTGAACGCATGCCCAAGGTCTGCAAACTGACACCTGGATCAGTGTCAGGGGCCGAGTGTCAGTGGCGTAGCTAGGCATTTATTAGCTCACCCCTGGCCATGTGAGCTATGCCGTACTGCAGCGTCCTTCGTCCGTCCGACAGTTTTTTCTTTCTTTTGAACGATTTCTTCTGAAGAACTGGAGGACCTAGGGTCATGATATTTGACCAGTAGGTACCTGGGATGGAGCGCTATAAAGTTTCCTCATTAAAATGACCTTGACCTAAGTTCAAAGTCACAGGGGTCAAATATGTTAACAACTTCAAACAACAATATATTTTAAGAACCATTTGGACTAGAGTCATGATATTTGGGTATGTTATGTAGACCAGCAGTGCAAATCTTTTTCTTGATTACAGTAATAAGGTCAAAGGTCGGGGGTCTAAGGTCAACATGGGTTAAAGGCTTTAACAGTCTTCTACTCAAGTTCCATAAGGTCCAGAGTCATGATATTTGGCCAGTAGGTACCTGGGGAGAAGTGCTATAAAGTGTCCTAATTAAAATGACCTTGACCTATTTTCAAGGTCACAGGGGTTAAACAAGTTATAAACTTCAAACAACAATATCTCAAGAACCATTTGGACTAGAGTCGTGATACTTGGTTAGTTATGTAGACCAGCTGTGTGAATGTTTTCTTTATTACAGTAATGAGGTAAAAGGTCAACTTTAAGTGTAAGTCTGAAGTCAAAGGTCATTTTGTGTCAAAAGCTTTAAAATTTCAAACAACAATATCTTCAGAACCGTTTAAGAGATGTTAAAATGTCTTGTGTTCTAGTTATCAAATTTGGTCTTAAGTTACCTATATGTCCGTTTCATTTAACAAAAGAAACAGGTGAGTGATACAGGCCCTCTGGGCCTCTTGTCTACAGTAACAAACGTGCATACTCCAGTTTTCAGAGGATGGCAATTTCTAATATTTGAAAGTTAAAATGTTTTATAAAGTCACATTTCATTAGAAATATTTGACAGTTTACAATCTGTTGTAAATATATATATATTTTGGGGGGGGGGGGGGGATGGGGGAGAGAGTGCAGCATAACTGGACTGGGTTCGTCTGCTGATAGCAAACTGGCTATATGCATTTCTCTTTCTCCTATTACATCAGTATAATGTCTGCGAAAGGTCCAAGTGGAAATGTTCACTTGCTTTCAATTGATTCATCTNCAGCAGCCACCTTGGATTTTGACGGTTCATGTTTGCTATTGCTTTTTCTCAAGTACTTGGCAGATCTTTCCCAAATTTTTATTATTCTTGAAATATGTCAAATAACAAACCCACTTTAAAAGAACTATGTCAAACACAGCATGAATTTTTGATAAATATATTTACCACAAAAAGTTTCCAAGTAACTCCAGGAATTATTAAATTGGAGGATTATTGAGGGTGTAGTTAGTGATGATGATGTCATAATCTGCCTATCATTGAATTGGATTTAGGTAAGATTACATATAAAAGGAAGCCCGAAGGGTTTCTTGTCAAACGCTCAGTGACATGCTTCCGAATGTTGTGATTATTATTTTAAGTGATTTCCTTCATTGTACAAAATAATCTTGATCAGAAGGATTTTTTTCAGGTTTATCGATTCTGGCTCTTTTGTTACTTAAATATTTTGTCAAATTGGTGGCATGTTTGGAACTTTTTAGTCTGTCTGCTTTCAACATTCAGCTAAACAAAATTGAAAATTAGCCATTACTTAATTTTAAATACATTGTAAATGAGTTTTGCAGATGAAAGAAAAGTAAGCATTGCATGACATTTCTAGTTATTTCAAGAAGTCAAGAATGATTGAAACTCATTAGCATTAAGCTGTCCATGCAGAGATGTTTTAGATTTCTGACATTTTATGCTATCTTAATTTCACATCTGCATAATTTCATACACTCTTAGTTTCACATGTTAAATTTGCTAACTTACCTATATATGTATATTTGGTAGGACTTTAAATTTAGCTCTTTGTTTAGATGGAACATGTAAAAATGATGGGAAAATGCTTGCAGGTGCTTTATATAGCTATTACATGTATTAATTATCAAGATTTCACACTTAATGCATACATTTTTCACAAAATATAAGCACTTAACTTGTTTGTTTGTTGATGGGTTTCTACACTCCTTTTCATGGCCGATGCTCGTGTTCTGTCGTCTTGAGGGGGTAAGTCTCCAGCTTACCGGGCCCTTGGTGATTCAAAATGACCTTGCCCGTCCAGGTCACGCTCTAAGGTTGATCAGCTCCTTAGATGCGGATAGGCTGCCGCAGTTACATACAGCACATATACGGGAGCGTGGAACATGTCCTTTAAACAGCTTCACTGCCCTCCCATGTTTGAACAAATACATATGTTGGGGCAGAAAATTCAGTTATTTTCTTGATAGTGAAACACATGTTTTTTTCATTTTCAAGTGTTTGTTTTGCATTTTTACAGTGAGCTTGAATTTAGGAATGTTTCAAGGACCATATGTATGCATATACAGTGACTGTAGTGTTTAATTAAAAGCGAAATATTTAAGCTGTGTATATATAAAAAGAAAAAAAATTGTACTTGTAACTTGCATGATTTTATCTCATTTTAGATTTTATATTAACACTTTTATGAATTTCGACAGGCACATTAAAATCTTGTTCAATCTATGAAATAGCAGTTCCCTGTAGACAGCTAAAACCACTGGAACGTGATATTTGCCTTTATCATCAGTATCATGTGATCACACCCTTAAGTTCGTTCACGTTACTCCTGTGTGTTTCTGTAGGTGTGGTGGAGAATCCAGGTGAGTGCATGACTCTGATGTCACTCTCCAGCTCCATGATGTCACCCCCAGATGTCAAATAGGACAGTGTCCTCACATGTAGGCCCCACTCAAACTTACCATACTTTCAAACAGCTTATAACAAATCTTATATTGGAATATTACACTTTTGGCATTACTCCTTTGGCTCATGGTTTTAATTTTTAATATAAATTATCATTTATTTTCTTAATTTTCATATGGACTTTGTTCTCATTTTTTTTGGCTTGAAATTCCCTTCTTTTTCTTTTAGCATAGAAAGTTTAAACTACCAACTGCAGGCTCTCTCTGGTGAATGTTTAGTAAAACATTGATGTGTCTTTAGCTGTAACTCTGTGGAGTTTCTGACGTTGGCCTGATCTATTTGCCTGGTGGGTGATATGAGGGAGCAGAGACTTTTCGTACTAACACTGGTTGTAGTTTTAGTGTGTTGTACCCTGGTTGTAAGCTACAAACACCTGTTGCTCCTGTATCACCCTATTTCATTTGTAATTGTCTATCGATGATAACAAGCTTGAAAAAGTTGTTTAACAGATTTGACTTCACTCTTTGTTGCATGTTTTTATCAAAGAGTTGTATTTCCTTCCTCATATTATAAATAATGTCTGTGAGTGGGTTATTTCTTATCCTTGATATGCATAAACATCTCTTTTATGTTCATATCCCACTTTAACAACACTCTAATCTCTTACTCTTATGCGACCTTCAAATTCCTACTTATATCATCATATTAATACCATATTCCACTTTCTGACATACTATAGTACAATGTTATTCCTATATCATCCCTACATACCAAGTTTTTCAGATCACACTCCTTATACTTCGTGTAGTAATTTCATATTCAAATCCACCTTCTAGTTACAAGTTACTTGATATTCCAGGCCCTAACATCACATGTTTCTTATAAACATAAGACATTACTGGTAAACTTTATATTTTATGTAAAGATGTGCATGCCTCACTTAAATTCTGTCTAAAAAATGTGTAGTTATACAGCAAGGATTAATATGGATGTTATAATATAAGTGTACACCATTATCAATTCATGCCTTTTTTTCATGAATGATACTATTGCATGGAAACAGAGCGGAAAGATATTGTACAAAACCATTTATTACATGTACTATGAAGTGGCATAGCATTTCCGGAAAGAGTGAATCCTATTGCAAATTTATTCGAGCATCACAAGGTGTCAAAAAGGATCTTCCTAAGATTGTCATGCAGATCTACAACTTAATCATCTCTCTTTTTTATGAACTTTTACTACTAAAACTTATTGATGATACAATTTTTTTTATGTTTTGTTGAGTCAGATCTTTGTTATTTTTATAAAGTTATTCATCCTGGTAAAGTACAATAATACTGAATCTCTGTAGCAAAGGAGTAAGATGGCGTGGCTAATCTCTGTAGAAAAGGAGTAAGATGGCGTGGCTAATCTCGGTAGCAAAGGAGTAAGATGGCGTGGCTAAGCTCTTTAGCAAAGGAGGAGGATGGCGTGGCTAATCTCTGTAGCTAAGGAGCAAGATGGCGTGGCTAATCTCTGTAGCAGAGGAGTAAGATGGCGTGGCTAATCTCTTTAGCAAAGGAGTAAGATGGCGTAGCTAAGGAGTAAGATGGCGTGGCTAATCTCTGTCGCAAAGGAGTAGGATGGCGGGGCTAATCTCTGTAGCAAAGGAGTAAGATGGCGTGCCTAATCTCTGTAGCAAAGGAGTAGGATGGCGTGGCGAATCTCTAGCAAAGGAGTAGGATGGCGTGGCTAATCTATGTAGCTAAGGAGTAAGATGGCGTGGCTAATCTCTGTAGCAACGGAGTAAGATGGCGTGGCTAATCTCTGTAGCAGAGGAGTAAGATGGCGTGGCTAATCTCTTTAGCAAAGGAGTAAGATGGCGTAGCTAAGGAGTAAGATGGCGTGGCTAATCTCTGTAGAAAAGGAGTAAGATGGCGTGGCTAATCTCTGTCGCAAAGGAGTAGGATGGCGGGGCTAATCTCTGTAGCAAAGGAGTAAGATTGCGTGGCTAATCTCTGTAGCAAAGGAGTTGGATGGCGTGGCTAATCTCTGTAGCAAAGGAGGAAGATGGCATGGCTAATCTCTGTAGCCAAGGAGTAGGATGGCGTGGCTAATCTCTAGCAAAGGAGTAGGATGGCGTGGCTAATCTCTTTAGCAAAGGAGTAAGATGGCGTAGCTAAGGAGTAAGATGGCGTGGCTAATCTCGGTAGCAAAGGAGTAAGATGGCGTGGCTAATCTCGGTAGCAAAGGAGTAAGATGGCGTGGCTAAGCTCTTTAGCAAAGGAGGAGGATGGCGTGGCTAATCTCTGTAGCTAAGGAGCAAGATGGCGTGGCTAATCTCTGTAGCAAAGGAGTAAGATGGCGTAGCTAAGGAGTAAGATGGCGTGGCTAATCTCGGTAGCAAAGGAGTAAGATGGCGTGGCTAATCCCTGTAGCAAAGGAGTAAGATGGCGTGGCTAATCCCTGTAGCAAAGGAGTAAGATGGCGTGGCTAAGCTCTTTAGCAAAGGAGGAGGATGGCGTGGCTAATCTCTGTAGCTAAGGAGCAAGATGGCGTGGCTAATCTCTGTAGCAGAGGAGTAAGATGGCGTGGCTAATCTCTGTAGCAAAGGAGTAAGATGGCGTGGCTAATCTCTCAGAAAGCAGTTCATGCTATGTTTATGCAAATGAGTTGTATGGGGTAACACATGGAAATGATGGCTTCATTGTAAAGGCTGTCTTAATTAAGCTCCATTCTCAGTAGTTTGTTGTAAATGGTCCATGCTTTACAAATCTTTGGAGGTCAAGTTGAGTAATCAAAGGTCAAGTTGAGTAATCAAAGGTCAAGTTGAGTAATCATCAACCCTAATATGCTTCCAGTATTTTGAAAAATGTTTTGAGTAATTAACTGTAAAGTATTTGTGTTTCTGTGACAAAGACTCAAAATGACTCCATGAAGAGTAAAATTATTCACTTTTATATAACACTGATTGACTGAATTAGTTGTATAGACATGTTTGCTTCCTTATTTAGACCTTTTCTATTATCATATTGTTATTTGTTGTTTTTTTGTCTTTATATCCTCGGAGAAGAACAATTTTGTGACATAATCATTTTGTCAGTATGAGATATTTTTGTCATGCATGTTTTGTCATCATAACTATATTCTTGTCACTATTAATTAGTCATAGCTGTCTTGCTAGTATACCTTTTTTGTATGAGACAATTGCATGTAATGTATATATTGTATATATATATCTGAATGATGCCTAGTGTGTATGGAACAGCATGCTTCACTCTAGATCTTAAGTCAAGCAAGTTTTTGTTTTTAAATCGCAAGAAGGATCTGTCTGATACTGACAAGACTTTCAGAATGATTGACAAAAAAAGTTTTATGTCATTATTGTATACTGGTGAAAAAATAATAGACTGATTCAGAAACTGTTGTTGTTACTTACAGTGACAATTTTGTTAGCCGTTCGCTTCTACCTGCAGCTTATCATAGGTGTATTATTGATGGTATTAAATACTTAATTTATAGAGACGGGTTATATACATCATGTGACAGGTGTAAAATATACAACATCAGGCAGTAGAGGGAGAGAACAAGGCCACCATCTTAAGTCTCTAAAAAAACTAGTGTGGAAAGCATGGACACACAATCTGGATTTAAGGTCAGCAGGTTTGTCTAGAGTGGCGGGCGGGAGTAGAGCATGCTTGGCTTTGTAATGTGTAGTGTGATGGGTTATCTTCAATAACACATGTATATTATGTTTATGATAATCTTTATATACATATATATATACCATATTTATCCTGCAATAAGCCAAAGGGGGGCAACATCTAACCTCTGACTGAAATTATTTCAGGACAACGAGAAAGTTTTTATTGGCATGCCTTCCCTCAGTATTTATATATATTTTGGTGGGCTTGTTACCAAGCATGGGCACATCACTGGACACATACGGTATATGATATCTCCTATAATAATTGTTTTCAAAACAGTCCCAGTTATTGTGTTTAAATGTAACTTTTAAACAATAAGTGTTTTTGAGGTACTGAAATGTACATTTAAAGCTTATATAAATGGGGTTTGAATGTCTATTTATTTTGATTACTTTCAGGCATGTAAAATGTTTCTAGTCTAACTGGCCTACTTTATTTCTCTGTGAGTGTGAGAATGCATTTGACTGAACTAATTGAGATTGTAAGCTTTTAAATATATTATGTCAGTGTTGAAATGTCTAATTCAGGGGTCGCGGTGGCCAAGTGGTTAAGGCGTCTGACACTCTACTACCACTAGCCCTCCACCACTGGGTCGCGGGTTAGAGGCCTACATGGGACAGTTGCCAGGTACTGGTCGTAGGTCGGTGTTTTTTCTCCGGGATTTACGGGACGGAAAACCAAAAACAAAACAGAAAAGTCTAATTCGGTACCAGGGAAGGTCAGGTAGATACATACTTTTCTAATTCAGTACTAGGGAAGGACGGGTAGATACATCCTTTTCTAATTCAGTACCAGGGAAGGACGGGTAGATACATCCTTTTCTAATTCAGTACCAAGGAAGGTCAGGTAGATACATACTTTTCTAATTCAATACCAGGGAAGGTAAGGTAGAGACATACTTTTCTAATTCAGTTCCAGGGAAGGACTGGTAGATACATACTTTTCTAATTCAGTACCAGGGAAGGACGGGTAGATACATACTTGTCTAATTCAGTACCAGGTGAAGGTCAGGTAGATACATACTTTTCTAATTCAGTACCAGGGAAGGTCAGGTAGATACATCAATATTGTAGTTGATCATACATCTTTAGCTCACCTGCCCAAAGATGCATGGGTTTTGAAATTTGTTATTAAGGATCCTAGTGTACCAAGAAGATTCAGTGTTGTCAAACAGACATGTCTTTTCAAACCACATAGTCAAGCTAATTAGGGTGAGTCAAACCACATAGTCAAGCTAATTAGGATGAGTCGAACCACATAGTCAAGCTAATTAGGGTGAGTCAAACCACACAGTCAATCTAATTAGGGTGAGTCAAACCACATAGTCAAGCTAATTAGGATGAGTCGAACCACATAGTCAAGCTAATTAGGGTGAGTCAAACCACATAGTCAAGCTAATTAGGGTGAGTCGAGAGCATACTCTGTAGGCTCCATAGAGAGTGGCTATCCTTTGTCCAATGGAAGTCATAGTGGAGACGTACTTATTAAACGATGCATGATACAAAATAAATCCTACAGTTGCTTCCTTATCCAGGAGAAGCGTAGAAGATGGTAGTTTTGCTGTATTGGTTGTGATAATGTGATGATAAACATTGAAATTGGGACACCAATTTGTGTTATGTTCCCAGGAGGCAGTGAAGATGCTGAACACTCTCCAGAGTAATGCTCAGACCATACAGAAGATCCGTAAAGAACGGAACTCGCTTTCCCATCTCAACATCCCAAACATGGTCAAGTACGCAGAGCGGGCAGGCATATCTGTAAGTTACATTTTAGATATTCATAGCATAAATTGACATTTAAGTACCAGTTTTAGGCAAAGTACATGTCAAATGTTTTTTGTTATTTTGAAGTGTAGAGATATTCTCTGTCTTTACAGCTGGATGATATTGACAGTCTGAATGTGATACATGTCAGTGGTACAAAGGGCAAGGGGTCGACCTGTGCCTTCACCGAGAGTATTCTCCGCCAGTACGGCTACAGCACTGGCTTCTTCAGGTAAAGAAATCCTAACACATCTAGATTGTTGAACATATATATATATATATACATGTAGCTCTTTAAAATTACACTTTATTTTAAAACAGGAATATAAAAGTTTTTTATCAACTTATATAATATCATTAATCAACAGTGGTAGATTGTTAACCATTCATTGCACTGATCCTGTATGTTATTGTGATTTTTTTTCTAATTAACTGATATACATGTGCTAAATTTGATGTTTTCCTGTCTTCTAGTGGTGATATGCATGTTATGGTTATATTCAATGCAATTGTCTCTTTTTGTGTCGCCTGCAACGCGAGACAACATATAGGTATTACTTTGTTGGCGGCGTCGGTTGCGTCGTCCGAAACAAGGTTTCTGTGCGATAACTGGAGTTCCCTTGGGGTTGATTGAACTCAAACTTAGTACACATATTGCATACCAATATAGCTTGGACAAATTTGCATTTCAGAAGTTGACGTGCATTTTTGGTGGAGTAATGCCCCTTTTATTGCCAAATAAGGGCATTTTGTAGTAAATGCAAGAACTTTTTATTTCTTAACCAATTCCTTTCAAACTTTGTACGGTAATGCTAGAAGCAATACTGTTCAACATATATTACAGGTTCTTCTGTCGAGTTTCAACTTTCTGCGTTTTGGCATATCGCAATTACTCTAGCTAAAACACTTTTCTTACCAAAAGCGCTGAGCAGGCGACACATCCATTCCCGTGGAACTCTTGTTCTAGTGTGTATGTGTTATAGATTACATGTTCATTTAACATCATTTTCCATCTTCAGTTCCCCACATTTGGTAGAAGTCCGGGAGCGCTTCCGTATTAATGGTTCACCTCTCTCACGAGACAAATTTGCTCATTATTTTTGGGACGTATATCACAAGCTTGAAGCCTCAAAGGTAAGCTATTGCATCAGTTTTAAATCATGTTTAGGGGGTTCTTGTTACGTGATCTAATTAAGAGTCTCTGTTGAAAATTATATTTGTGAAACAAGTTAAAATCTGATTTTTGGATGCTGATTTCAAACATAGCTAGTTTTATAAATTTCAAATGAAACAGAAATAAAAATTAAATTCGGCCTAAAATGTTTAGCACAATTACTATAGAAAACACCTCCAATGCCATGATGTTGTTCAGAGCTAAGATGACATCACTAACAAAGCCAGGTCTGTCTGATCAGAGTTTTCATCAACAATCTACCTCTGTATTACAGCACCAACATAACGGTGCCATGCCGGCTTACTTTGCCTTCTGTACTATCATGGCGTTTCACGTGTTCCTGCAAGAGAAGATTGACGTGGCCATTGTGGAGGTCGGTATTGGGGGCCAGTACGACAGTACTAACCTCATACGCAAACCTGTGGTGTGTGGAGTAGCCTCCCTTGGGCTAGATCACACATCAATACTGGGAAACACCATTGAAAAGATAGCCTGGCACAAGTCCGGAATTTTCAAGGTCAGTAGTCTACATGTCTACCTTCAATTTCGTGATAAGCTACATTGTAATTGTTTTTTTAGATCACCTGGTAAAAAGTATGAGCTTGTTTTATTGATCTTTCACATTGATCTAAGTGACCAGGGTCAATTATTTAAAAAAACTATGACATTTAAAATTTATAAACACTCAACATTTTCTATCAGGTGAGTGGTATAGGCCTCTGGGTTCCTGACTTAAGTTTGTTTTTGTTCAGTTTAACCAAATATCCTGGATTTAATTTCATAGACACATTTAAAAATAAGTGCCAAATGTGTTTTGAGTGATTAAAGTGTCATAGTTTTATGACTTAATGATATATTGTATTGTACACACTTATTTACCAATATTTCTGTTCCATAGTCGGGAGTGCCAGCGTTCACCGCGCCACAAGTGTCTCCAGCCTTACAGGTTATCAGAGAGAGGGCAGAGGAGATAGGGGTAAGTGGTCCTCGTCTAATACTTGGGAGACGGATGCGGAAGATTGTGGTATGTTTCCTTGATCTCATGCTAAACAAGAGGGCATGGGAAATAGGGCTAAGTGTTCCTATTCTACAGATACTTATAGTGAGGGCACAGATGATAGGGTATGTGTTCTGGATCTAACGTTTAATCAGAGGGCACAGATGATAGGGTATGTGTTCTGGATCTAATGTTGAATCAGAGGGCACAGATGATAGGGTATGTGTTCTGGACCTAATGTTCAATCAGAGGGCACAGATGATGGGGTATGTGTTCTGGATCTAACGGTTAATCAGAGGGCAGAGATGATCATTGTGTTCTGGACCTAATGTTCAATCAGAGGGCACATATGATAGGGGTTGTGTTCTGGATCTAATGTTTAATCAGAGGGCACAGATGATCATTGTGTTCTGGATCTAATGTTTAATCAGAGGGCACAGATGATAGGGTGTGTGTTCTGGATCTAACGTTTAATCAGAGGGCACTGATGATAGGGTGTGTGTTCTGGACCTAATGTTCAATCAGAGGGCACATGATAGGGTATGTGTTCTGGATCTAATGTTCAATCAGAGGGCACAGATGATAGGGTATGTGTTCTGGATCTAATGTTCAATCAGAGGGCACAGATGATAGGGTATATGTTCTGGATCTAACACACAGAAAATGGAGGTTAATGTCCTTGATTTTTATGTTCTCTGATTGATGGCACAGGGGTAAGTGTTCCTGAAAGTAAACAACAGTAATTCTCAGTCTACGTTCTTAAAGCTTTCTGTTCCATGTCTAGTTATCTATGATTAATTTAAAAAGATTAACATTTGATACTGGAAAAAACTAACATTTAATACTTGAACCAAAATCCAAAAGTTAATTTCAAATGAAGAAGTTTATCTTATTTTAATTCTTTACAGAGTCCGCTTCACAAGGTTTTGCCGTTGCAAGATTTGAATTTCCAGGGTAGAAAACTAGAAATCGGTATTGAAGGGTCCATGCAAATGGTGAATGCAGCTCTAGCCATGCAGCTTTCTAAAACCTGGATAGAAAACAGAGAAAGGAACGCCCGGATAGAGGATACAGGAGGTAATAACTGGGCAGGGCAAGTAATAACTGGATAGGGGAAGTAATAGCTGAAGAGAGGATAGAGGAGGTAATAGCTGGATAGGGGAAGTAATAACTGGATAGGGGAGGTAATAGCTGGATAGGGGAGGTAATATCTGGATAGGGGAGGTAATATCTGGATAGGGGAGGTAATAGCTAAAAAGAGAGGATAGGGGAGGTAAAAGCTAAAGAGAGGATAGGGGAGGTAATAGCTAAAGAGAGGATAGGGGAGGTAATAGCTAAAGAGAGGATAGAGGAGATAATAGCTGAAGAGAGGATAGGGGAGGTAATAGCTGAAGAGAGGTAATGGGAGGTAATAGCTGGATAGGTGAGGTAATAGCTGGATAGGGGAGGTAATAGCTGGATAGGGGAGGTAATAGCTGGATAGGGGAGGTAACAGCTGGAGGTAATAGCTGGATAGGGGAGGTAATAGCTGGATAGGGGAGGTAATAGCTTAAGGGAGGATAGGGGAGGTAATAGCTTAAGGGAGGATAGTGGAGGTAGTAGCTGAAGAGAGGATAGGGGAGATAATAGCTGAAGAGAGGATAGGGGAGGTAATAGCTGAAAGAAAGGATAGAGGAGAGGGGAGGTAATAGCTGGATAGAGGATAGGGGAGGTAATAGCTGGATAGAGGGTAGGAGAGGAAATAGCTGGATAGAGGAGAGGGGAGGTAATAGCTGTAGAGAGGATAGGGGAGGTAATAGCTGTAGAGAGGATAGGGGAGGTAATAGCTGGATAGAGGATAGGGGAGGTAATAGCTGGATAGAGGGTAGGAGAGGAAATAGCTGGATAGAGGAGAGGGGAGGTAATAGCTGTAGAGAGGATAGGGGAGGTAATAGCTGGATAGAGGAGAGGGAGGTGACGGAATAGAGGTTTTGGGAGCTAATGACTGGTAGGGGATAGGAGAAATAATACTGAACAAGGGGTAGTAATAACAGTACAACAATAGATGAGGTAATAACTGATGAAATAGCAGTTGTCCAGACAATTATTTTTGTTTGTGTGCTGTTTATGTATTCACATGATCTGAGACAGGAACTTTTTGTTTAGAAATGGAGAATGGAGTCCAATCCTCTATCCCCAATGCCAAAGAAAGCAGCCCATGCATACCTGAGTGTGAGCCGTTCGCTGTGACTGAGAACATGCATCAAGGTAAGTAACGTGTGTATGGATGATATATATCAAAACCCAGGGATGTGACCCAAGATGTGACATACTGATAGTATTAATCACCTTTTCTATACAACACTCATTGATTAGTTTTGAAAAGAGTAAAATGCAATGCAAACGGTTCACATCTATATTTTGTACTATTTGAGGTTTGACTGGATTTCTATCGCATTGTTACAAACAAATACAGGTCTATGTATCCCTCTTTACCTTTCCAGGACTAGCCATGTGTAGCTGGGCTGGTCGAAATCAGTCTATCAAGAAACAGCGGCTGACTTATTACCTGGATGGAGCCCACACCTTTGAGAGTATACAGGTATGACCCTTGTGATGAAGATTACGTGTATCTTTGATACAATGATGCATGTTTGAATTTGTAATGGTTTTACAGGTACTTTATCCAGCTGTATGTATAGCCACTAAAGTGAGTTTTTTGTTTTTTGTTCCAGCAATGTGTTGAATGGTTCAAGACTGCATCAGCAAAGGAGGCCAAGACTATCAGGTAGTGCTTTTTCTTTACAGTCAAATGAACCAGGCAGAGACATTATGAAGATATTTGGAGTTAAATGATTGATACCTGCAACTTAGGAGAGAAAAGTATGAGCAGGAGTCCGATCTTGTATTCACTATGAAGTTATTATCATCAACAACATCTTATTGGATATACATTTATAGAACTCATGTGAACCTGAAAATAATGTCAAAGATTATCTTATTCGTAACTTTAGAACATATTAAACTTCTGTATATATATGATATCAATTTATCTAAAGTTATTTCAACTTATATTTATCACTCTTGTTGAACCATATGTTAACGCGCGGTGTCTTAATATGAGAGGAAACCGGAGTACCTGGAGAAAACCCATGTGGTCGGGCAGATTACGCAATACTTTCCACGTCCGATCGGGGAATCAAACTCCGACCGTCTTGGTGAAAAGCAAGTGCCCCATCCGACCCCCCCTTCTGTATCTTCACAACCTTAGCTCTCTGATTAAAATGTGGAAGAACATTAGAACTATAATATGTGTTTTAACTTGCCTTGTAGGGGAAAGGTTGTCAAGGTCATTGTATTTAACACAACAGGAGACCGAGATCCATCGGTCCTGATAGCTCCTCTCACGGTAAGTACCCTCACTTCTACAATTACTTAATACAAATGTGGATTTACTCTGATGATATAACCATGAAACTTAAAGTCAGAAGAGGTGATGATGATAAGCGAAATCTAAAACAGAGAATCTAATTAGTTCATCAGGTACAGACACATCTTGCTAACCCAAACACTGTTCCTGGCGCCGGTAATGAATTTCAAGATATCCATGACCTGCATGTTTTTGTTTAATTTTCTTCCTTTAAATTTCATGCTCCCAATTTTTATTTAAAATCATCATTTTAAGAGTATGAGCACTACTTATAACCTAGACATGTGTTTGTCAAGAATGATGAAAGTGTCTTGTCAAACAACTGAATGTTGCCATGTGTAACCAATTGGTCATCAAGAAGTGTCCGAAGTTTGACCAACAATTCTGTGGTTACATTTGGTGTCGAGACAAAATTAATGGACTGGAGAGAAATTTAAAGCCACATAGCATCATGCAAAAAATAACGTGCAGTTAATAAGTGCTGATTTCATACCACCATATTTATTTCAGGATTGTCAGTTTGACTTGGTTGCCTTCTGCCCGAACATTGCTTTTAGTAACCGCAACACTTTAGGTACGTATACAACAAGCGTCTGTTTAACCCAATTGTAACTTTAACTGTGATTTGACTTTTTAACAGTTTTATCCCTTTTTAACAGTTTTATCCCTTTTTAACAGTTTTATCCCTTAGTAACTCCTTTCACAGCAATAATGTTTAACCCCCATAACTGTAGTTATGTTAAATCCATAAAACAGCAATAATGTTTAACCCACATAACTGTAGTTATGTTAAATCCATAAAACAGCAATAATGTTTAACCCCTATAACTGTAGTTATGTTAAATCCCAAAAACAGTAATAATGTTTAACCCCCATAACTGTAGTTATGTTAGATCCCTAAAACAGCAATAATGTTTATCCCCCATAACTGTAGTTATGTTAACTCCCTAAAACAGCAATAATGTTTATCCCCCATAACTGTAGTTATGTTAAATCTCTATAACAGCAATAATGTTTAACCCCGATAACTGTAGTTATGTTAAATCCATAAAACAGCAATAATGTTTAACCCACATAACTGTAGTTATGTTAAATCCCTAAAGCAGCAATAATGTTTAACCCCCATATCTGTAGTTATGTTAAATCCCTAAAACCCTAATAATGTTTAACCCCCATAACTGTATTTATGTTAAATCCCTAAAACAGCTATTATGTTTAACCCCCATAACTGTGGTTATGTTAAATCCCTAAAACAGTAATAATGTTTACCCCCCATAACTGTAGTTATGTTAACTCCCTAAAACAGCAATAATGTTTAACCCCCATAACTGTAGTTATGTTAAATCTCTATAACAGCAATAATGTTTAACCCCCATAACTGTAGTTATGTTAAATCCCTAAAACAGCAATAATGTTTAACCCCCATAACTGTAGTTATGTTAAATCCCTAAAACAGCAATTATGTTTAACCCTAGCTCATAACTGGTTTAGTAAAGCTTATAACTGTGGTTGACTCTAGCTTATAACTGTGGTTGAGTACATGCCTTTAAACTCTATAACATTTTAATCCCTAGACAACTCCTGTTGATTTAGTAACATTTAACCGCTGTACCTGCTGTTATGTTAAACCCCTATTATTAGCTCACCTGGTCTGAAGGACCAAGGTGAGCTTATGCTATACCGTGGCGTCTGTTGTCCGTATGTACGTCAACAGTTTCTTCAAACGACTTCTTCTTCTTAACGACTGATTGGAATTTAACTAAATTTGAATGGAAGCATCCCTATGTAGTAAATGATTCAAAATTGTACAAATGGTGGGGCTGCGGGGCGGGATCAAAAGGGGTCAATTTGGCTATATTGCTATAAACGACTTCTTCTCTAGAACTATAAACTGGATATCAATCATATTTGGTTGAAAGCAAACATGGGAGGTGGGGATTCAAAATTGTACAAATTGAGGGACGGGGCCAAAAAGGTTTTATTGGCTATATTGGTTTCAGCGACCTCTTCTCAGGAACTAAACTATGGATATATATCTTATTTGATTGAAAGCATTCATGGGAGGTGGGGATTCAAAATTTTACAAAAGGAGGGGATGAGGGGCGGGGCCAAAAAGTGTAATTTGGCTATGTATTGCTTTAAGTGACTTATTCTCTCAAACTAAGCGATAGGTATCAACCATATTTGACTGGTAGCATCCCTAGGTGGTGACGATTTAAAATTGTATAAATGGTTGGGCTGACCCCTTATTGAATTTAAAGAAATTCCCTTTAGTGGGGTCAGTAGCAAGTAACAAGATGGTTCACCTTAGTGACATACTCCCTTTTGCTAGTGGGGGCATTAAAACATATGACCTCTTCTAGTGTACAATATATTTACTTAGAAATCTGTCAGAAAATTTCTTAAGAATTATTTTAACTCATATGTTTTCACTTTTTTCACTTCACTGTGATATAAAACACATGAAAAATCATATCTAAATTTTCAGGCATAAATTTCTTTTGTAGTAGTATTCTTTCTTTTTCTACCCATTACACTACGTGTTTGTTACTAGCTATATTACAGAAGCAACTGCCAGTTATTTGAATCAAAGATAAATATTTACCAGTTTATCATTTAATATCACTGATAATTACATAGTGGTAGACCAAAGACGAAGTTTGGTACAGAGGGGATAGTTGTAAAAGTATTAACTTGATGTTATGACAAGAAATGAAATCTAAATAAAACGAGAACATGCACTAGACATATGTTGTGACTTTTGGTAGGAAAGCGTGGAGGTAAGATAAACGCTTTCTGTTCTGCTTTCCCACCCTACCTCATAGACACCTACATTGTGTATATTATAGCTAGCTGCTTTCCCACCCTACCTCATAGACACCTACTTTGTATATATTATAGCTAGCTATGCAGATCAAACTATTCATTCTCAATTAAGTTACATCTTGACTCCACTCCCAACTCCATCTCCACTCAAAACTCCATCCCCACTCCCAACTCCATCTCCACTCCCAACTCCACTCCCAACTACATCCCCACTCCCAACTCCATCTCCACTCCACTCCCAACTACATCTCCACTCCCAACTTCATATCTACTCCCAACTCCATCTCCACTCCCAACTCCACTCCCAACTCCATCTCCACTCTAAACTCCATCCTCACTCCAAACTCCATCTCCACTCTAAACCCCATCCCCACTCCCAACTCCATCTCCAATTCCACTCTAAACTTCATATCCACTCCCAACTCCATCTCCACTCCCAACTCCATCTCCACTCCCAACTCCATCTCCACTCCCAACTCCATCCCAACTCCATCTCCACTCCCATCTCCACTCCCAACTACATCTCCATTCTAAACTCCATCTCCACTCTAAACTCCATATCCACTCCCAACTCCATATCCACTCCCAACTCCATCTCCACTCTTAACTCCACTACCAACTACATCTCCACTCCCAACTACATCACCACTCCCAACTACATCTCCACTCCCAACTCCACTACCAACTATATCTCCACTCCCAACTACATCTCCACTCCCAACTACATCTCCACTCCCAACTACATCTCCACTCTAAACTCCATCTCCACTCTAAACTCCATCTCCACTCTAAACTCCATCTCCACTCTAAACTCCATCTCCACTCCCAACTACATCTTCACTCCCAACTCCACTCCCAACTCAATCTCCACTCTAAACTCCATCTCCACTTCCAACTCTGACTTAAGATCAAATAAGGAGCACATATCATGATCTATCATCACTAACCTTGGACAACTCCTGTACTTAGACATCAATGCCAAGTAATACAAATATCCAAATATTCACCTTGGACTGTGTTGGATGTTTCCAAATATTATGAAGAACTCCTCTTTAGCTAAATATTTCAATAGTACAAAAATCTAGCCATACAGAAACATTTCCTATACTTGAAATATAGTGTCTGTGATCCAACACTGTATACCAGAAAATTGTGGCCTTGTGAAAATCAATATATGTACAGTTAATTTCACCCTCACAGTGAAATAGGTGTGTCTAGTAAGGTGAAAGCTTAAATTTGCTGCCAAGGTGACTTTCCTGGTACACAGTAATACCACTGAGCAGGTAGTGCTAGAAAGAAAAGCATGTGGTACCATGGTAGTGTCAGTACTCATATTGTGTCGTTTATCTCTTCTGTCTCAAATTAAATGTCCACAGAGCTCATAGCTTGGTTCAAGATCTAGCAATCAAACAGCCAAACTGTTTTCTGTACCAGAACAAATCTTTCTTCTCAAAATGAATGCATATAGTATACTGAAAGTGTTGTTAGCTTGACAGAAAAAAATGGAAATTTAAGATTGTCCTGGTGACCTCTGATCGACAGAGATATTAACACATTCATATGAATAACAGATTACAAAGATGAAATGCTAATTTGTCAAAAGTTTGAAGTATGGGTAAAGAAAAAACAGAATTAAGGATAAAATGCCATTTTATCAAAAGTTCAAAGTTTGGGTAAAAAAAGCAGACTACAAAACATAAAACGCCATTTTGTCAAAAGTTCACAATTTGGGTACTCTGACTATCTGTGTTTGTGATGTGTACAGCTGGGAGCTTTTTCAAAGTGTTCCAGCCTGACTTCCCAGCCTGATATTTTAAAAGGTTCAAGCCTTGGTGGTGGTATCTCCTGCAGGTTTACCATACTTATTTGTACTCTTAATTCACTGTACCACATAAACTAATGCAATGTAACGTGTGAAGCTATTTATCTAAAACTTTTTGCATGGCCTTTCCAGCACAGTTAATGAAACTGAGTAATCTTACATGTAAACCTATGTTCCCCGAAACATGAGTGATTTTCAGTGAAAGTTTATTTGTGTTTATTTTGTGTTTGTAGATCTCACCAACAACACAGTCACCACAGAAAGCCAGCACGCCAGGTGTCTCCTGAACAAGGAATTTTGGATCAAAGTACACCAGTCCAGGACAGCTGGGGCCGAATTTTCAGATGATGTCCCCAGCGGCACTTCTAAACGGACTCTTCAAAATGGCAATGCAAACGGACAAACAAATGGGTCAAACAAAAGGTTAAAAGTGGACCACAATGATGATGACATATCGCAAACAGAAGATCAAAAGTCTTTAAAATCGTCAAATGGTGTTTCATTAGATCTTGGCAATGGCGAATCAAAATCTGTGATAAATGGAGAATCTGAAGATCCATTATTTCATAATATATCCTGTGAACAAGCTACCTGTGATAGCCGCTCAATACATTCACACGACACTGATGTCATTTCCCAAGTATTTCCGTCCATTTTTGATGCACTTAAGTGGGCCACTCAAGGTCGTGACCAGCTAGTTAATGACGACATTAAACTTGACTTAAATGACATTCCTGAAGATCTTCGGGATCCTGCCCATATACAAGTCTTGGTCACAGGAAGTCTTCATCTTGTGGGTGGGGTGCTAAGGGCTGTTGGTCCTGACTACAACTCGTAATTTGTCGTGATACAATGTACAAGGTTGTCAGGGCCACCCGGCCTGAATTTGTCGTGATACAATGTACAAGGTTGTCAGGGCCACCGGGCCTGATCATACTAGTATCTGTGGCAAGAAGTGTAATACAGTGTTAAATACTGGCTGTGGAGCTCCACTACATTTGCTAGGGTGTCCTCGGTAGGAAGTATTATACGAGGTTGTTAGGTCTGGTCGGACTGACCACTGACCACAGTGCCTAGTGTAATACTGTCGAGTCTGTACAATTTGATAGTTCAGACTGATGAGGTGTTAGTGCTACAATCAGACAATTATTGTAATTACAGCTTTAAGTTTCTTACATATCAGTATAGGACAGGTATTATATTGGTTTGGGAGAGAGGAACTTTTGAACACTCTATTCAAGGGTGTTTCCCCCTCTCTCTGATATTTTCTGTATGTTATAATCATATTGGCTTGTCGATTAAAATATTAGTTAAGTGTTTTTATTTTTATGCAAGTACCAGTATAAGAGTGCAGCATAATTTGTTGTTTTTTTAAGCAAAATCAAACATTGTTATTGTCAAAATGGTTAAAAATGTTCTTCTATCAGTAGAACCTTAATGATACATGAATGGTCGAAGCTTGCGTAGTGATGTGAAGGGGAGACAACTCGCGATACACAGCAGTGTATGCTAGTCCAGTTACATACAGCAAAACTTTGTTTAGTTTGTCTAGTAGAACAGACTACATGTATTTTGCAATTCAAAAGGGAAAACTTGCTGAAATCCTGTATAGCAGGACAACCGAACTGCTGGTGGCTGGATAGCAGGACAACCGGACTGCTGGTGGCTGGATAGCAGGACAACCGGACCGCTGGTGGCTGGATAGTGGAACAACCGGACTGCTGGGGGCTGGATAGTGGGACAACCGGACTGCTGGTGGCTGGATAGTGGGACAACTGGACAGCTGGTGGCTGGATAGTGGGACAACCAGACTGCTGGTGACGGATAGCAGGACTACCAGACTGCTGGTGGCTGGATAGCAGGACAACCGGACTGCTGGGGGCTGGATAGTGGGACAACCGGACTGCTGGTGGCTGGATAGAGGAACAACCGGACTGCTGGTGGCTGGATAGGGGGACAACTGGACAGCTGGGGGCTGGATAGGGGGACAACCAGACTGCTGGTGACGGATAGGGGGACAACCAGACTGCTGGTGGCGGATAGCAGGACTACCAGACTGCTGGGGGCTGGATAGCAGGACAACCGGACTGCGGGTGGCTGGATAGCAGGACAACCGGACCGCTGGTGGCTGGATAGTGGGACAACCAGACTGCTGGTGACGGATAGTGGGACAACCAGACTGCTGGTGACGGATAGCAGGACCAGGTCAACCAGGCTAGTGGTGAGACAACTAACTGGTGATGACTGGACTGATAGAGCAACTGCATGTTATAGCCCTGTCTCAGTATAAAACATAGAGAGCTGTTATTTTGTTGTTAAAATGCCAAAAAATGCAAATTCTTTATTTTGTACACCATAGAATTGTTATTATTGTACATACATCTATTAGTATGGTTAATGTGAGGGATACCACAATACATGAAATGGGTTTTTTTTTTTAAATTTTCTTCCTGGGTGCCTTATATGGAAAATATAACCGAGTGTGTGTGCTTGTCTCACAAAGTTTCTTGTTGCAATGAACAGTGTACTTGTCTAAAAATGCATATGATAGTTTATTTGTGATTGTATTTGACATATATATTTTTTCTCTGCTTTGAAGTACTGGGGGGGGGGG